TCATGGTCCTCAAATTTGGCTGAGAATAAATCTCTTTAAAATTATTTTGCAGACTTGGCTTTTTTTTCCGTCGACAATATAAAGGTTATAAAAATACAAACTCAGCTAGGATGTGAATAGATTTTGTTTGAGGATGTGATGTTTTGGAAGGATCTAATTAACTAATACCTTTAAACAAGATATTCTAAAATGACTACTATGTTTATAAAATTTACAAGTGATGTTATATTTGTTTAAAATAACAAGTTATATTGAAATATTTATTTTTTCTTGATAAGATTTATGAGTTTGTATTTTGATCCCTGTTCTGTGTTATATATATCTAATTTACAGTGTATAAAAATAGTTAACAGAAAAGTAACTTAAACTAATAGCTGAAATCTAAGTGAACTGCTAAGATAAATTAGGTAAATATAAATGAAATAACGTATAATGAAGTTTTCATGTAATTTAAAATCTTAAAGTCATTATGTTAAGTTAAAAAAGATAATCATAAAATGTCTGGGTCATTTATAAGGTAAAATCCTAAAACATCAGTTCTTAAACCTAAGTTTAAGCTTATACGTCGATATCTTAGCTTTATATTTAGGAATACTAATAAAATTGGTGACTAACAGTTCAAAGTTACTTTAACTTCCTAGGTTTTTCTGAGAGTTGACGGACGTTAGGATTAGTACATGTAATTAAAACTTCTAGATAAAAGGGAAACAACTCTGTATAAAAATTCTTTTAATAAAAATGTTATAAAACATAAGTATTAGTTTTGTTAAAAGATAATTTTGTTTAATTTATTGGTTTTTGAAAGTACTTATTCAATATATAAATGATCATTAAAAATTAAGGTTATAAAAGCTTTATAAAGTCTTAACTTATAATCAAATTGGTTAAAATTAGATGAATTTGTTTATAAGATTTTATTAAAATGAACTTTATTATTGATACACTAATACAATGAAATTGGGTTTTCTCTTTTAAACTAAATTGTCATATGATATTAATAATAACAAAAGATTTTTTATTCACCTTATAATAAACTGCAAAAAGGAAAGGAAGGAAAGAAAGACACAGATTCAGCTTCCTTATTATCTTGTACTTCAGTCTGTCTATTAGGTCTTATACTTGCTTGAAAAAACTGAGTCTCCTCTCTTACAAAAAATAGGATTTTTGCATTTAAAAATATATATATTTGAATTATCAGTTTGGCTATAATTCTATAGTACCTGCAATATTTTTTAAATTTAATGAATATTCAATGACAGGTGTCTTTGATGAAAATTCATTAACTTCTACTTTTAAAGCTTTCCACTAAAATTTAAAGTTAGTAAAAATAAGAATTCTAGTCAATGTGTGCAATTCTATATATAAGGTGTACCAAAGAATAAGACTTTCTAATAAGAAAAATTACAAAACAGAATGTGTTCTTATTAAAAATATATATAACTTTGTCTAATTCAGAGGTTATTTAAAGGTGGAATCAAAATAAATTTAGAAAGAAAATCAAAACAAAATTCCACATGTGAGTAGGAAAAAGATGTAAAAAGACAATAAATATAGAAATATATTTTTGGTAAGAAATGTTAACCAGAAAGAGTAATGTAAAGAAAGGATCTTGCATAAAATTTTTGTCCTAAAATGACTGGTTATTTAGGAAAAGGGAATGTTAGGACAAAATTGAAGGTTTATGGTATGTTTTATAGATAGTGTGTGGTACATGCAGGTAGGGATAAAGTTTATGAAAGGGAATTTATTAAAGAATTTTGGCTAAAACAAAGATTTCTGTCAATATTAATTTAATCTTAATAAAATGACATGATATACTAATTTTGATTCTATAACATGTTTGCTTCCTTTATAATATAAAATAATGTACTACAAAAGGTTTTTGTTTAATTGGTAATTGACCTAAAGAAACAAAGATTTTATGCTTTACCAGATTATCCCTGTGATCTTTATTAGGTTTTGACTAACTAAAAAAAAAAACAAGGCCGGCGCGGGTGGTCACGCCTGTAATCCTAGCACTTTGGGAGGCCGAGGCGGGCGGATCGCTCAAGGTAGGAGTTCGAAACAGCTGAGCGAGGCCCTGTCTCTACCAAAAATAGAAAGAAATTAATTGACAACAACTAAAAATATATATACAAAAAATTAGCGCGGGCATGGTGGCGCATGCCTGTAGTCCCAGCCTACTCGGGAGTGAGGCAGTAGGATTCGCTGACAGGAGATTGAGGTTGCTGTGAGCCAGGCTGGCCACGGCACTCCACTCTAGCCTGGGCAACAAAGTGAGACTACTGTCTCAAAAAAAAAAAAAACAAAAAAACCAAAAAAATAAAAAAACTAAAGTTTAAAAGGATATTTATACGCCATATAACTTTTTGTGACCTAAATCAAATTTTAAGGGCTGCCCACCCTCACCAGATGACTGAATGGACCCCCTCGTGGCCAAAGGAATATCCTAAAACTAAATTGTCTGCCAGGAGGAGGGAGGTCAGACAGGCCTCATCATGCCCCCCTCCCTTCATGGAGACATCCTTTGTAACCATTAACAGGCCTGAGGATATGCAAGACAACCCTGCAGGTCCTCAATTTACACAACAAATCTATGTCCAAAGCTTCATGTCCTTAACCAATTAAAATCCAAAGAATCTTTAAACCCACCTATAACCTGTAAGTCCCCCTGCTTTGAGATGTCCTTTTAGGGCCAAACCAATGTATGCCTCCCACGTATTGGTGTATGACTTTAGCTGTAACCCCTGTCTCCCTGAAATGTAAAAAACCAACTGTAACCCAGCCACAGCGAGTCCACTTGCCCAAGGCCTCATGGGCGCAGCTCCAGGTCATGGTCCTCAAATTTGGCTCAGAATAAATCTCTTTAAAATTATTTTACAGAGTTTGGCTTTTGTCTGTTCACAACATGAACCAAAGAAAAGCCAAGAATAAAAAACCCTCTAAATACCTTTTTCTAAAATGCTTCCTCCCCCACAATGACTAATCAAACAAATCAGACTGGCAAAACAAAAAATAAATTTGTTGTTAAAATTCTAGGCCACGTGAAGATTTTGTTTTTCTTATACAATTCAGCCAGTCCTAGCTAAAATGTAAAATTTATATATTCAACCCTAAAAGTCATTTGAAACTTTAAAAAAAGGTATAAAAGAGGCTTTTTCTTTTAAATCAAACTGCTATAGAAACGACTTTATCCCAATTTTTTGTCCATACTTTTCATTAGATTACTTACCAAGGTAAATAAAATTTAGCCATGTGCACAGGTCCCTAATATAATTTGGATCCAGATGTCCTTTTATAAACCAGTGAGTTTATATTACTATGTTTCCACTGTCTCATAGCTAAAATTTCAAAATGAAACTAGGGAATCTGCTTCTATGTTCTCATGATGTCTGCATGTTTTTATGTTGTGTGTATGTAATATTTTTCTACCAACACATATAAAAGAGCTCTAATTAATTGATTGACTTAAAGGGAAAAATTAAGTACTTAAATCAAGTGTTTTATCAAAAATATAACAATTAACCCAAATGTTTTTAAGTTTATGTAACTTAGGTAAATTTGTGGTAAATAAACTGATTTTAAAATTGTTGGTAAAATAAAAATAGAAATGTCTTCAGAAGTGTGAGCGTATAGTTTTGCCTGTTATATATTTGAAGGTGTCAGGGTTTGACACTAAGGTCATAAAACTATAAATCCATCCTAAAAACAGAATGACCTTTGTTCATGTAATTCTTTGGTAATTAAAACTAATTTAAAAACTAATTTAATATTTTAAAACTATTTTAATATTCTTGATTTAATAAAAACATCTGTATTTTCTGAGTTACTGACAAGATACCTATATATTTAACTTTAGGGTTCCTACTTAGGTAATCAATGCCTGATATTCACAGGCTATAAAAATGGTTAAGAATGAAATGGCTTGAAATAATGCCTAGTCTTGTCTAATAGATCACATTTTATAAGTCATCTAGGTATAATTGTTAAACATAAATAAATGAGGTACATGTAAATGACAAAAATATTTATAAATAAACTCTTTAGAGTTTAAACAATTTTTTATAGCTTAAAATCTTAAGGTTATGTTAAATTAAGTAATAGATATTAATTAAATGTCTGGGTCATTTCCAAATAAGATTAAATCCTAAACCATAAATTGGTGAACATAAATATGCTTGTTTTTGGTGTTTTAAATTTTATAAAAAGACTAAATATGAGTCATGCACATTAAAAATTATGAGAAAACATGTTTCTAAATTATTAAATGAGTCTCATCTATAAAATACTGATATGTGACAGTTCAAAATCTCTCTCCACCCCCCCGCCGGCCCTTCCCCTGTGAGTGGGAGGGGACAGCGTCTGCATCCGGGCCGCGTCCTCGCCCTTCTCCTTCCTTCGTCCTCACTGGATAGTCTGGCGCAAGTCCTGCTGAAGACTCTGCTTCCTCTGTGGTCTTGAACCCACTCACATCTCTCCACCCCCACGGCCACCGCCGCAGTCCTGCTTCATCCTTCCCTGGCCACACGCACTCACGGCCACCGCCTCCCACCTGACCTCCCTGCCTTCCTGCCACCCGCAGCCACCTCCGACGTGGACCTGGACTGTCACTCTCCTGCTCTCGCGCTGCCCCGGGCTCCCTGTTGCCCCCGTGAAGTCTGCAGCTGCTTAGGAAGGTGCTTCCCCACACACCCGCCCCATGCGCGCTTCCCTCAGCCCTGAGCACAGCGAGCTCTTTTATAGGGCTGTGTCCATGTTTTCTTTAGTCTCTGATATGTCCTCTCTCCCAATCCTCATCATTACCTGCCTAACTCCTGCTCACCCTGCAGGGCTCAACTTAGAGGCCACCTCTTCTGGGAAGCCTACTTTGATTCCACCCAACCTGGGTGAGGTGTTTCTCCTTGCCAAGTCTATGCAGCAAGTAAATTATTGAACTGGGATTCAAATTCAGGCCCTGCTGCTCCCAAAACAGCAAGCCCAAAACAGCAAGCCCAAAACAGAAGACTGGGAAATTACTTATTTATTTAGGAAAAATGACTCAAGAGTAAAGTAGAGCTACGCCAACATGTGGAAAGATGCCCAAAATATATTAAATGAAAAAAGCAAGTTGTAGAACAATGTGTATGGCATAATTTCATTGAAAAACCACCACAACAAAGAATATATGTTGATATATGTTTTGTAAAGCACAGAACAAAGCTGAAATGGATACAAATTGAGCTGTTAACAATATTTATCGGGTGGGTGGATTTAAGCATTCTGTAAGGTTTGAAATTATTGTGTATTCTTTATGTCCTGAAAAAATCAAACTCAAATTAAGGGAACTCAAAAACAGCTTTTCTCCAATCATAAGGGCAAGGCTTGAGCACTCTGGAACTGCAGTGTCTAGGGACTCGCTTTGGGAGGGAGGGCTGCACCCCTGCAGTGCTAACCTGAGCGGAGGACAGATGCCCTGGGAGCCACACTCACCTTCCCTAGCAGCTCGGGCAGGCCCAGCAGCTGTCCAGTGAACACGCCGACACAGATGAAGATGGCAGTCACCTGCCCCAGGGAGCCACGGATCTCCTTGGGGGAGATCTCGCTCAGGTACATGGGGAGCACGCTGAGGGCAATGCCTGCGGAGGAAGCACAGCAGGGAGTGAGTTGTCTTCCCCCAGGGAGCAGCACTCCGGCAGCGCCTCCCCTGGCTCTGCTTTGCCCTGGAGGGTAAAGGCGCTGCAGCAGCGGCACCATTCCCAGCACTTTGCACAAACTGCAAAGGCTTTCACGTGCACCTTCTCATTTAATCCCTCAAGTGAGGCTGGGAGGGCATTTCAGAGGCCAGGGCACAGCTGATGGTGGTGGTGGTGATGGTGATGACAGCGGTGACAATGATGATGGAGATGGTAGCAACGATGGTGACAATGATGGTGGTGGTGGTGACAGTGATGGTGAAGATGGTGGTAGTGACGATGGTGATGGTGATGCCAATGGTAATAATGATGGTGATGGTAGCAGTGATTATAATAATGACCAACACATATTGTGATTGCCAAGTAGCAGGGATTCTTCTCATCTCTTTATATATATTAATTTATTTACTTTTTACAGCAACCCTTTGAAGTAAATGTACTATCATTATCTCCATTCTAAAGATGAGGAAACCAAGGCACAAAGAGGTTGAGTAATTCGCCTAAATTGCCAAGCGATGTCCAGAGATGCCCAAAGAGGTTACTTTGCCAAATAGAGCCCGAATAGGTCTCTGGTTCTAGAACTTGAGCTTCCCACCAGTTAACATTGCTCTTTACATAAATTATGGGAGAGACTGTTAGACTCATTTTATACACTAGGCCAGCCACATACAACTTCATTACCTTTGTGATAAATTTACATGTTCAGAGGCTTATTACAGATATTTTGGATAAAAAAGTAATAGTTATAAGGATGTTTTACAAAATGCTCACTGCACACATACTGGGCCTATTAGAAAAAATATGATGCCTTGTCATTTTCAAAAAATAAAAATAAAAAGCAACACCTGGTTCTCCCCTACACCTGGGAAAGGTTCCTCTTAAGGCCCTTTGTAGGCCTCTAAATGGCTACAGTGCACTTAGCCTGGGCAGAGCCACTGCTTGTGTGGAGCACAGACTGCAGGGTCTTGAGTCGCACGGCCTTCTGGGCGGGCTCCCTGCAACTCGCAGGCTATGGGACGTTGGGTGGGTTGTTAGCTCCTCTCCGCCTGTTTCTCTGGCCACAGTATGGGGTAAGTATTGAGCCTAACTTCATGGGATCTCTGTGAGAGTTAAGATATACTCGGTGTCTACTCATTGTAAAATGCTATAAAATTAGCATTATTAGAACTTATTACTATTATCTAATTTTTCACTAGATTGTGAAGGCATCAGAAATGTCTTTTCTGCCTTGGTTTCCCAATGCCTCTAGCACATTTCCAGACATATTTTAGGAACCAATAAATGTGCTTCAACTTGAGCGAATTCACCCCAGTTGTTAGAATTCAAGGAGGCCCTTCCTAAAAAAAGTTAATGAAGGGAATGCATGCCCCAATCTGCAAACCAAGAATCTCAGTCATTGCATCTTAGCCAAGGCTACTGCTTTGGTTCACCACTCAAAGCAAACAGGCTTAAGAAGCAAAGAGATGGAAATTATTTGGAAAGTCACAGCGTAGACCAGATGATACTTGCATTTTTATCCAAAACACATATTGGGAGCATATGGCCTCATGGGAGAACAGGACGGCCACCGATCCTTTTAGCACGTCGCCGCTCAGCAGGCAACGGTGAAATGTACCGCCCTGGAGTCGAGTCCCAGCGCACGGTTTCCTTACTGGGTGGCCTAGATCAAGTTCCTTAACCTCTCTTCGCCTCAGCTTGCTCATCTGCAAAATGAGGCATGCCTGCCACCTATTCCTGCTGGGGTGGAATGAAATCAGTGCATGTAGTCACCTGGCTCATGTGCACTCTCCTTAAGAACACTGAGAACACTGTTGGCTTCTGTAACCTGACGCTCCTCCTGCCCACTCGCCACCTCACAGACACAGTGAGGGAACAAGAACGTGTAGGGCAGAGGGGCGTGGCCCGTGGCGGGGGCACAGGGCTAACTTCCCGCCTCTTCTGTGCGGCTGGGACAGCGACCGGCGCCTCCACATGCTGCTGCACACGCACCGATCCTAAGTCAAATGCTTAGCAGAGCGCCCAGCATACACTGGGCTGTCCATAAACGCTGACTGTTCTTACTTGTCCCCTGTGAGATGACATGGAGAGGGAGAGACCAGTGGCGAGTGAGGATGGGGGCTGTCTGGTGAGCTCGCCGGTGGCTGGCCACTCACCCCAGTGTGCCTGGTACTGTCCGTGCTGGGGACCCCCTCAGTCCCGACAAACCAGGATGTTGGTCATTCCAGCCCCACTGGCTGCACTGAGCAGCCTCTGCTGACCTCTGACCCCATCTCCAGCCACCCTTGCCCCCAGGTGCCCTGGCCTTGGGGTTCACGGAGCACTCTAGGCTCCTTCCGATGGCATCATGCTGGCCTTGCTCTTCGTTCGTCTGGAACCCTCTGTCCTCAGAGCTCCACAGGTTTCTTGACCTTCCTGTCTCAGTTCAGTGTCACATCCTGTAGTGGGTGATTGTGTGCCCCCAGGACATACGTGGAAGCCCGATTCCCGTTACTCATGAATGTGAAATCGGGTCTTTGCAGAGGCTGTCGGTGATGGTGAGGTCATGCTGGACTAGGGTGGGCCTGAGCCCAGTACCTGGCATCGCTGTGGGAAGGCCACATGCAGACACGGACGCTGAGACACACGGGAGGAAGCCGAGGTGTTGCAGCAACCAGCCAGGGAGGCCGGGGTTCCTGGCAGCCGCCAGAAGCTGGGAGAGGCCTGGAGCAGACTCTCCATCTGGCCCTTCAGAAGGGGCCAATCCTCCCGACACAGCGGCGCGTCCGCAGACACGGCCTGTCCGAGAGAGGCCTCCCCATGCAGCAGGCACGCCTGGCACCCCGGCCTGTCCGAGAGAGACCTCCCCATGCAGCAGGCACGCCTGGCACCCCGGCCTGTCCGAGAGAGGCCTCCCCATGCAGCAGGCACGCCTGGCACCCCGGCCTGTCCGAGAGAGGCCTCCCCATGCAGCAGGCACGCCTGGCACCCTGGCCTTGTCCGAGAGAGACCTCCCCATGCAGCAGGCACGCCTGGCACCCCGGCCTTGTCCGAGAGAGGCCTCCCCATGCAGCAGGCACGCCTGGCACCCCGGCCTTGTCCGAGAGAGGCCTCCCCATGCAGCAGGCACGCCTGGCACCCCGGCCTTGTCCGAGAGAGGCCTCCCCATGCAGCAGGCACGCCTGGCACCCCGGCCTGTCCGAGAGAGGCCTCCCCATGCAGCAGGCACGCCTGGCACCCCAGCCTGTCCGAGAGAGGCCTCCCCATGCAGCAGGCACGCCTGGCACCCCGGCCTTGTCCGAGAGAGGCCTCCCCATGCAGCAGACACGCCTGGCACCCCGGAAGTGTGGGCAGGAGCGTGTCCAACACAGCCTCCCACCAACACAAAATGCCTGTGTCCTATTGTAACTTTATAATAAGCCTGGGTTTTGCCTCCAGCGCTACACTGTTTGTTATGTTTGTTTTAAAGTAAGAAATGATGTGTTTCTTTTTTTCTCCAAGCCCTTTGGGAAAAGGCCAATCCAGAACACGCCCTGTGCCCTCTGCGCCCACGGTGGCCCCAAACGCACCGCGGGAACCTGCGCGGTCCGTAAGTCTCAGCGCCTCCCACTTTCCGAAAGTCCTCCAGCTGTCACTTGGCTTTAAATCATTTACTAGGAGCAGGGCAGCTGATTCAAGTCACAACTAGCAATTGCCCTTCCTTTCTGACCAATCACCTCACCTTAATTGCCCTCAAATTCCTCTCTCTGCTCTGAGAGGGTTCGATGAGAATAAAGGACATAAAGTCTCCAGGTCTTGGCACCCTCTGTGGGCCAGAAGTCAGAAAGAGTGACGTTTTTCTTCACTCCTTGTTCTTCCTTTTTGTTCTTTTTGAAGAGCTCGCAGGAAAAACGGTCTAAAAGACACTTGTTTTCTATCTGTGGTTTTGTAAAAGTGACATCTGTCTTTGAATGCAGCTTATTTCCAGTTATGGAAATTCAGAAAGCAACTAGTTACATGTGACAAGGGTCATCCCCCCAGATTAGTTACACAGTCAAAGCAACAAGAGAGAGGCTAAATGGATAAAATATAAAACTGCCCGAGAGAGAGAGACAGACAGAGAGACAGACAGACAGACAGACAGACAGACTGAGAATGTCAGCTGCCTCGTTAAGGAAGGAATTCCAAGGCCATATGCTCCAGTCTCACCAGGCCCTTCTCCAAGGGAGGCAGGGTCTTTGAAACCAGACTATCTGGGCCCAAATCCTGGATCTGCACTTTATTAACTAAGAATAAAAATAACAATAACAACAGTGGCCATAACACCACTGCCATCCCTGGGGTGGGCTGGCGGAGGACACTGAGTGCGTGAAACTGTATAAGTACCTCACACACACTGCAGATCATTTAGTTTTTACATAACCCGACAAGGGAGGCCTTACTATGGAGCCAGCTTGCCAGGTGGGAAGGAGGCTAGACAGTGAGGCAGACTGCTCCTGAGGTGGCTTGGATTGTGTGAGGTGGCTTGGATTGTGTACCCTCCCTGCATCCACACCCTTAGGTAGCTAGTCCTCCCTGGCACTGACCCTGCACCTGGCCATGGGACTTGCTTGGGCCAAGGGGACATTAGTAGATGTGCTTGCAAAGTGCTTGCACATTGGGACTTTCTCCTCTTGCTGCTCTTTGGAGCTCTGGGAACTCCACATGAAGAAACCTAGGCTACCTAAGCACAGGGCGAGAAGCCACTTGGAGCAGAGATGACCAGCTGGCCCTGCTGAGAGCCCCTGAGACCAACCCGCCTGCCAACAGCCAAGCACAAGTGTGAGACGATCCTGAGCTGTCCAGCTGCTGACAAGACTGCGGCCGACCACAGACATGGGAGAGGGCCCTGCAGACGTGGGCAGAGCTGGCCCATAGCTGAACTGCCCAGCCAACCCAAGTGAAAATGCCGTAAAGTGGTTATTGCCTGGAGCCGTTAAGTTTGGGCG